CTTGATGATCTTAGTGGAACTTCCTTCCGATCTACCGTTATGAGAAGAACGTTGGCCACTGGCAACATATGCTTGCTGTCGACTCTTCTCGACCGTACTTGCACGGTTGCACCTCCAACTGATTCATACTGACCCGCCTGTGGGAATTACCGTGCTTGTTTAACTCGTCATATCCCACATACGGCGGTATAACCAAATCCTGGCGGGCAGTATTCTCTGCGTCATGTTTCTCTGTCTCCTCCGGTGCCAGTTACAGCTAGGCGCCAAAATAAGCGCCTCACCCACAAAGGGAATCAAAAACCGGTGTCTCGAGCAAGGAACAAGACTCTTTTGATGACCTCCCAATGTGTTCACCGCCTATTGTCCCTGCTCTTCACCACTCTGCGCTGCTACTCGTCCCGACATGTCCAGAGGTGATTCGCATACTGAGTGTCTGCCTCATGCGGGGTTGGCATCGGTCCAACCTTTGGCGGGACCTTGCTGTTGGAGCGGGCGATGGACGGAGGAAGAGCAGGGGCATTTTTTTTTGTAACTGGTTTGTTGTAAGATTCTTTCACATAAATATGTGTTTTCCTTGATTGGTTTTCGGCCAGCTCTTGGAATCGAGGCAGTTTATGAATTAGATGGTTAAAAACCGGAGCAACACTGCTCAGGGATGCAGCAGACTGCAAGAGACAGAGAGGTACTCCCGACGTCGCGTCTGCCCGAGACGCTCAACTCGGGCTCTTCTCCCCTCCTGATCACAATGAGCTCCGGCGAGCGAGGCGGTGTACACGGATTTTTGTCTCTTGTTGACGCGACGGCGCGGCGAACGACCATTTCGGGCCAGTTGCGTTGTGTGGCTCGTTTGGGCAGTCTCTCCCACGTGAGGCGGTCGGCAACAAAAGAGTTGCTTGTCAGGGCTTCTTTCCTTTTCTTCCCCGACTCTGTGCTCGCTGCTCGTCTATATACCACGGAACGACCGTTGCCTCGACTATACCTACCCAAACTTGTACATTTATACCCGCGTTTCTGACGCGCCCGACGCGCCACCGACACGACCTCAGAAAACCACAAGGGTGTTATGGCTGTTCCTACCTCGCAGAGGCATAGTAGGCCCAACAGCCCCCCGACAAACGCTACGAACTCCACGACCACGCCGCTCCGCCCACGGCTTTCGAGCATTTTCAATGCTCCGTCGTCAGCGTACTCGCCGACGGTCACCCAGAACGCGAACACGTCAAAGCTCAATGTCGTGACGCGTGTAGCGATTGAGGGAAAGGCAAAGCACGGCGACGATGGCGCGAGCATCAAGATGTACCTCAAGGTGCGCTCAACTTTTTTTGGCCGACCGCGTCAGGCGCTAATTTTGTGGCAGATTTCTTTGCCCACAGACAGTGTCACTGCAGGGTCAACTATTGCGCTGTTTCCTGGTCAGTTTGTGGCTACATTTTATACGTCAAATACTGAATTTTGAGCAGAGGAGAGTGTCAAAATCTTGTCCTCCCAGGTTCATCCGCTCGACAACAATTCCGTCCCGTACGACTTCTCGTCGGACTTGTCCCCTCTCCTTCACCACGCGGCACGGGCCCTCAACCGTGAGTCGCGGGTCACCATTATCTCAAACCAATTCCTGAGCTCCCTGCAGTTCCCAGCCGCTCGTCAGAGTCCTACCACACTGCCTTTGGTTTATCGCCGCCTGTGGCCAGCGCCTCTGTCGCCGGGTCCGTTCGATCCACCAAGTCCAACGGATCCTCCTCCTCAACTAGAAGTGCTACGCCGCCCGTGGACAGCAAATACACCGGCCACATCCTCGTCAGCGGCTACCACATTTCGTATGTGCTACCCAAGGTGTTCCCGGTGCGGTACCAGGACAGCGACGGGTACTCGCGCTCCGCGGGCAGCTTGCGTCGCTCCTCCATTATAGAACGCAATACTGTGCAGTTCATGGCCGCCATCGACATGTTCGTGCCGTACGCCTCTCGCCCGCCGCGGTCCCCGTATCTGGTACGCACCGTTCCGATATCGGCTCCCGGAGCCGTACTGACGCGTGGCGCAGGTTTCTATCCCCACCCCGCGGTGTTTGCACAACAATATTCGGCTCCGCATCTTCCCGCCGTCCGCCGTCTCCGCGTCGTTCGCGTCGCTTTCCTCTGCGGATGAAGACGCCGGGTCCTGGGACCTCACGTCCGACCCGCACGTCACGCGCGCGACCTCCTCGCGCCAGTCGCGCTCCGGGACGTATTCATATGGCAACGTCGCCGACGACGAATCAAGCGACTCGTCAACTACGGGTTTCTCCGAGGGGTGTGGGATCCAGGGGACGTTCCCGAGCGCAGAGCGCATCCGCGTACGCTGGGCGAAGCCGACGAAGGTCGTTGGCGGCGGCGGGGACGGGCGGCGGCGCGTCGGCGTGAAGGACGTCAAAGGGGATATGACGTGTGCGGTGCTGGGCAAGATGTGGGATCCAGAGCACCAGCGAGAGGGGATCGTGATGAATGTGGACTACAAGGGGACATGCAAGGGCGTGTGGTTCCCTGGGGTGGCCACGATGCTCGGGATGGACGTCAGTCTGGAGGCGAAGGGCTCGGATATATCGTGGGTGCCGGGGCGGCTCAATGACTGGGAGGTCGGGGGAGGTGCTGGGTATACGGGGTTTGACGTCGGCGCGTCACCGAAGCCCGATGGTCCGTCGAGGCATGATTCGCTGGACTCGAGCTATAACGGTGGGCCGCAAATCTTCCTCGAACGAAACAACATGTCTCGCACCAGCTCGGTGTCCTCCTCGTCCTCTCTCCTTCGCGGCCCTCTGCCGGCACACAGCGTTCCAGAGTACTCTTTCGAAGGCTCCGCCCCGCCGTCATCGTCCGCCTCCGCGTCGCAGAGCAACTCAATGGCGTCGTCCGTAGGGTCCCTTCTCCCATCATCTACCTCCTCAATCGACTCGATGCCGCGACCCCCGGGCGTGCCAGTGACGATCCACATCAACATGAACGAGCTGACTCTCCCTGCGTCCAAAAACTCGTTCCCGTTCCGGATATCGGGCACCGTACTGGTCACGCCCCGGCCCCGGGCGGCGGCTGCACCAGCCCCATCGCGCAACGCCTCGCCCGTGCGGGGCGAGCACGACGCCGACACCCCCACCCCGCCGATTGACCCCGAGTCGATCATCATCCCGCGCTTCACCGTGCTCGCGGCGGACAACGAGACCGTCGCGGTCGTCGTGCGGCACGACGCCGACTCGAACCCGCCGTGCACCATCGAGGTCAGCAGCGGCGAGCCGCACCAGCGCGGGCCCGCGCCGGGCAAGACCGTCTTGCAGCGGGGCGACTACACCAAGTGTCTCGAGCGCGCGCGCATCGCGGTGAAGGCCGGCGTCCCCTTTTCCTCGTCGTCGGCGAACGGCGCGGTGGCAGGTGCGAACGGGAAGCTGCACCCGCCGAGCCGCCCACGGACGCCGACCACCGCTGTGGGGTCGCGAGAGCGCGTGCCGTCGGCGGGGACCTCCACGCGCGCGATGTCGGTCCTGGGCCTCGCGCCTGCGCGGCCGAAGCGCGATGGCGCGCTGATGATCCCGAGCGTCGTTGCGACCGTGACACCGCTCGTCGTCATGCCCGATAGCCCAAGCAGCGCGCTCGCGGCGGTACCTAATGGCTACGCGGTGCGCGTGGTCCTCGCCGCGCCAGTGGACGCGGAGTCAGATTGGCTGGAGTTTGGGCTGGCCAAACACGATGGGGCGGGCGGATCGGGCTCGGGCTCGGCGGGTGCGCCGAAGGTCGAGATTGTGAGCGTGAGTGTCGAGGATGTGCCGGTTCTCTACGAGACCAGTGCTGTGGTGAAGCAGGAGGAGCCCGGGCTTGGGCTGCCGTTTGAGCAGATGAGCGGGCAGGAATGGGTTAGCTGGGTCAAACTGCGCGTTGGCTCTGCTGGTGGAGGGCGCGTCGTAGTCGATTACGTCGTGAAGGATCTCGATGGGCAGCCCGTCGCCGATAAGAAGGGGAAGCGCAAGGCAAAGGATCACACACAGTTCGACGTGTATCTGCCGTCCTTCGGATTACCCGTGGGGAGGTTGGAGGTTAATATCGATGGTATTCAGGGTGAGATGGCTCCATTTTCTTCACTCAGTCGTAATTTAACCCTTGCCTCAGGCCTGGAAATTTCGTCTTTAAGATCTAATTTCTCCCACCATCAATCTGTGCACTCTGGACGGCGTCTCCTACATTATTCTCTGCAGGAATTCTTCTATCCCCACATATCTTTGGACATTCGTCTAGACCGCCAACGACATTACACCATGCACCCTTTCTCCCCATCCCCGACGAGCTTCGGCCAGCTCACGATCCTCCTCGGGTCCTGGGCGATCATCCTCCTTGGATTCATGTATCTCGTCCGGCTGAATTCACTGGTGTCGCAACTGTCGGATTCACTCGAAGGATACTCGCTCGCTGTCGGCTCGGGGTGGAACGACCTTCCCGAGCCCGTCACTATCACCACCACTGCCTTCCAGGGAAACCGATGGCAGTGGTTCAACAGCGACGCGAAGTCATCAGAGTCTGCGACGGGTTCCGAACCCGAACCTGAGCAGCTCAGTCCGAGCACCACACCGAGCAGCACCTCCTCGGCGGCGCTCACGTCCCCGCCAGCACCCTCTGCTGCGGAGACGCCGCGGGTCGTCCCAACCTTCACCGCCGAGCCGTCCGCCGCCGTTGCTCTCTTCCGGCCTCTGGCCTTCAACTGGCGCAATATGACTTGGCCCGAGATAGACATGGATCTCGCATTAGAAAAACTTCTCTGGGGTGCGGAGAAACTGTGGCGGTTCGCCCGGAAAATATACCACTACCCATTGGATCCTACTTGATTTACGTATAATGATCTGTAATATGTATATGCTTATGATTAACGCTTATGAGTGGTTTCAATCGCATCGAGTCCTGGAGTCGCGGGAGAACGTGGAAGAACGTCATGCATGCATGGACGTGCAAAAGAAAAATCGGCACATCGTTCAACGTTCAAAAGTGAAGCGACGCCAGCAGGACTTGAACCTGCGCCCGGAAACCGGAACAGATAAGGTGCCAATAATTCGAATCTGTCGCCTTAACCACTCGGCCATAGCGCCCATGGGCAATTAGAATCGTGAGTGAACAGGGCGGTGGAAAGGAGCGTAGCCAGTGTGTCCAGTGGTTTCCAAGCGGTCAGCACCAAGGTAGCACATGCAGGAACGCCAGTATACTGGATAACGACAGGAGGACCCGGAGATTGCGGTGGCGAGTCCACGGTGCGAGGGTCCGTTCGCGGGAGTCCTGTACGCAAGATACGTGTATAGTGCCATTGTGTACAAGCAAGAGGGGCACGGTGACCCGACCATGGTACTACCCGCTGCGAAACGCTCCGAACAACGACTCAAAACTGTTACAGGCTGTAGGCGAGAAGGAATACCCCTTCTGTTCGTCGAGACGGTGTGAACACAGTGGACAAGGCCGAGAACAGAACTCGCAAGGGGCTTGGCACACTCCATGTCTCTCCTCAACCCGATAATTCAAGTGTTCAACTACACCCTCCAACCAATTGCCCCATTTATGGTTCAACCCACCTCTCGATTAGCACTCTGGACGTTGTGGCTGCATTTCGGCTCTGTATCGTGCTGAGGCAGGTCAAGGAGTCTCTGTATCATCAACATGTAGAACGGGGCCCACACTGTCGCACCCAGGGCGTTTGGCCGAGATGTCGCGTCCGCGCTGACGGTGCGGCGGCGAGATCATGACGGGTGCGTGGCGTCGACGGGCGGGCAGCTTGCGCGGGCTTACCATGCCGTAGCTCCGCTGCTATGCATCCCTCCGTCTTTCATGGTCTCCGGTGTGATCCCAGTCTTCTATACCGTTGTGCAAGCAATCGTAGAAATGCTTCCCGCCGTACCGACAATGTCGATCCACACAGAGCTCCCGCTGTCCGTTGTAGATGGGTTCACCCGTGCTATTCTTTTGTGCAATCTCATTCCCCCCGCCGTCACCACCAACTCGTCGCCTCTTATTGCTGCGTCTCCATGGACACTCCTCGTCTCTTCTCTTGTATGTGGCGCGTTTCGTACGCACATTGAATAAATTAACACTTTTATCTAGGTGACCGCTAACGGGGTCTTTTTCTTGACCAATCTGCTCTCCTTCTTGAACCCGTATTTTTGTCGAGAGATCCTTCCCGCCGAGGAGGAGAGGCGCTTCGAGTTTCTGGGCGAGTACATTGTCGACATCTCGCCGGAGGCTCCGTGGATTTGAATGTGCTTCCGGTCAAGGTATGCCCGTATATTGTCTTTCTTTTCTCGTGTACTAACCGTTCTCAAACAGATTCAAGAATCCATCCTCAAGCAATACGATATGGCCCTAATGACCTCTCCTAGATGCCCAACGCAGTTCATAGGCGACCACATCATGGGTTCACTCGTGTGGTCTTTCTATGACCAAGGCGACTTTGTGCCTATCATTCGCCTTATGCCATACTTTGAAGCCAACTGCTACTGTACTGTAGCGCTCGACAGCACTGTCCAACGCGGCGCCTCAGGCTTGAACTCAGAGCCTTTGAATGCCACCGCTATCTCCTCCATACCACATTTTCTCCAGCTGACGTGTTTTGATAGATTTCGAGCGGCAAGTGTTCTCGCTGCGTCTCATGTTACCCCCGCATTACTTTCTCAACTGCTTTCTTATATATATCCTGCGCTTTGGCACTTGCATATTATCTACACAACTGTGACAACATGGGCACTTCTCTACAATATTAATGTAACTGTAACGACATCTGCGCTCTGTATTTGCCCTGCACGACTCAAATATGACTCTTCGTTTGGATTCCGAAGGGGATAAAATCCAACTCTCCCAGCTCCACACAGTTGAAATTAATATTAACGTTGAAAGCGAGTGCGGACAAGACAAGGACGGGATTCCACGGGAATTACGACGGTCATCAATCTCCCCCCATCATTCCTGTCGGCCTTTGCCGACGCGTACCGATCAGTGTTCCTCGCGAAGAGCCAAGAGCTGTGTGTCTGTGGCCCTTCAGATTCCTACTTAGATCTCACTTGCCCGAACTCTGCACGGTCCAGACGTCCTATGGCCGCTTTGCCCGTGGAGTTTCACTCCATTACCGATGATGTTTCCTCTTGGCCACCCGAAATTTCGGGGATTCTACGTGCTTTGGACGCGCCTCTTCCGTCCTGGTGTGCTACTGGCCCATTCAACGGAATCTCGCCACCTTCTCCAGATAAATATGATGAACGGACTCCGCGACTAGCCGACGTTTTCAATCTCGCACTTTCGACCGTTTCCGACATCCGCTCTCTCATCGACAATTACGGTCCCACCCGGTCGGCACTGCCATTTGTGTCTACTCTAATTCAGGGTTTGGCGTATACGTGCAGAAGAGAAGCCGTTATACTGTAATTCTTGCTCTACTTCAGTCATCTCGCGCTCATACCTTATTTTGTCGAATGCCAGGAAGGATGTGTCGTTCGTGCGTCCCCGCAACACTACCCCGGAACGTGGAGTCGATGGGATTGCCACCCTGCTTGCATGCCATACCGTGGACGGCATCAAGAAAGAGCACCCATCACCCGCCTCGCAACTCGCAACGAAATCTTCAGTACCGAGCGCGCACCCAATGAGCATAGATGATGATGAACACTCCAGTGCGTCCTCGATTGAGAGCGAGCATTCTACCAGCTCTGGTTCTCCGTCGATCGAGAGCGACTCTTCCAGCAAGTCCAGTGCCTCGCCCAGCCATTCCTGCTCTGTCTCGTCGATCGATGTTCCTACAGAGGCCCATATTTTACCGGGTCGCGGAAGACATCTGTGTGCTGTTCTTGCGTTCCTTTGCGTCACAGATATCGACAACATAGTCGAGCTCATGTCGAGTGTTGCATGCCAACGACATGTCTGGGGCATCACGGAGCCTGCTGTTGGTTTTCTTCTGTCCGAGACGGGTGTTGTCGCCAAACTTGTGCTCTCATGGTTGGATTCTTCTGCTGTCAGTCTCGGATCTTCGACGTCGGACTCCAGGCTAAATTTTCTTAGGGTGTCGTTCACATCGTTCGTGCTGATGAGGGTCAAGGGGTGTTTGACTTGCAGGACTTGGCAATGATGCTGTCTTTTTCGCAGTTCACCATAAATCTGTCGTCTCATTTTGCTGCCATTTTTGAGTGCACAGCCGTCTCATGCGAGGATCACAAGCTCGATTGGCGCTCGGATAGAATACATAAGGGTTCGTACGATTTGGGTTCTTGGCAAGAGCGCGTAGAACGGTGGGTGTACGATGTCGAAGACCGAGTCCTTGGGAGTGGTAAACACGAGTCTCTTCCTCCCAATTTACCTTCGGCCTCGGTGAAGCCCCCGGGCATCCCCCGTCCAAGAAGGCAATCCGATGCAGCTGATCACACGGAAGCTTCAATAATCTCAGCCGACGAACCACAGTACATAGTCCTTCAACGTTCAATCAAAATTGCTAAGGGTGACAAACTGTTTCTAGACAAGGACCAATGACACCGTCCGCAACTTCGCAGAAGTCGTCCCAGAGCGTATCCTGTTCCAAGTATGTGCTTACCTCAACTCTAATACTTGTGGGGTTGATGCTGAAGCTTGTCTGCTTAGCCTGGCCAGCATAGCCGTCACCGGCCTCGATGCTATGGAGCCACACATCTTGACTTGGATGTTCGATCGCAGGGCCTCCAGCATCGGGCGTATCTCGTTCCCCGAAACCACCGAAAAGCCTGACCAGATAGAAATCAACGCAAATATCGCCAAGTACGATGCTATGTGTGGTTTTCTCGGGATCGATTGGAATGAGGTACGCACGATGTATGTCGAGTTGCTCAGGTGATGAAGTTATCCTCAGAACCAGCGTCCGCATGTAGACGCGGCCGTGACACTTGCCAGGGACGTTCTCGTCAAGCAAGTGGTGGAGCAACAGGCTGCAGCGCAGCCGACCCTTTCAACAGAGCACCAAGAGATCGTGTCTGGGCGCTTGTCTGTTCTTTTGTTCGCGACCCTCGGCGCCTACACGTTAGCCGCCAAATCACAGACACTAACTCTCTATGAGGCGGAGTTCCGTCACGACTGGGATATCCTCTTATATTGTTTTTATCATGGAAGCAAGACAGGAATTTCGCCGAGTGTCTTGTAAGTTTTGCACAATCTGACTACTCGGACTCCGCTCATTTTTTCAAACAGTTTGGAGCATACAATACATCTAGCGCGGAATACCCTCGCAGATCAGGCGGACTTGAAGGACTTGACTAAATTTTCGGCCTCAATTGAAGGACAAATCGCAGCAAACTTGGCCCATTGTCGAGGAAACCTTGACCATTGTCTCAACGCTATCAATGACGCATCATTCGATCAAGCTTTGTTGGAACAAGCTTCGGCAGCCTTGAATCAAGCCATAGCCGATCATAGAGTGGTGCAAAACATGAGCGGTTTTCGAACCGCCGTGCGAGCGCGCTCCTTGAAGGAGCCAATCGATGGCAAATGCGACGGGCTGTTATGTGTTGTCATTGATGACACCCATGGTTTGAAGAACGAGGAGATTATGCGGCACAACAAGAAGGGGTGCAGTAAATCTCCGGCGTTGTTGCCTCCCGACAAATGCACACCCGAACCCGCGCCGTCGGGGTCCAAATCTGCGTTGTCACAGTCCATACCAGGGCTGTCATCCAAACGTGGGTCGTCAGGGTCCAAATATTCGGAACGTCTCAGTCCCTCGGACCTGGCTATGCTGCAAAACCCCTTCTATGCTAAGAAAGCATCGGTCAAGCCACGTGAAACGCTAGCGCTGTCGCCATCGGATGTCGAAATCCCGTCCTTCGACGGCCTCCTCCTTCTTCCTCATGCCACGGTGGAATACAAAAAGGCTGACACGGATGAGGGGAACCCCTTGAATCAAGGGAGGATGTATCTAGTATCCGTGACTTCATTGTACTCTACCCTCGGCATTGACGATTATTCGTTCTATTGTCTGGTGACTTCCGGAAAACTGGGTGCGGTTCTCATGGCTTGGAAGTCGTCGAAACAGGATGTATGTCCTTTTTTCCTGGCGATTAATGCTAAGCATCTTGTAGAGAATCTATGTCATGGA